TCAAGCTCATGCCATCTTGGGCAGCTTGTGTGTCAGTAGGGCAGCGAGAAAAAAAGAATCATGAGAGAAAGCCAATCGATGATGCAAGTCTCCAGAGGCCCTGCCACAAGACGGCACTTTTACACCCCGAGCCATCTAAGGAAGTGTAACAACCTCTTCCTCCTGTGCTTCTGCATCCCTCTGGCCTTGTATTATCAGGGTTCATGCACGCTCCCTAGAATAGCATGCCAGCGGGAGACGGTTCACAGATGGGGCCTCGTAGTGCGCACCGCGCGTCGCCGTTTCCTTGCCAGCGCATTCGAGAAAAGCTTGTGCTTTGGATTTTGGAGAGGCGGATTAGGTCAGGAGATGTCAGGAGCTTCCAGTGGCAGGGCTTCGAGCTCAATCCACCGCCACGCTGCCAAGGGTGACCAGCTGAAAATCTCCACTACTGCGACGTGCCTATACTCAACAGGCACCCTTCACTGTCATTCCCTAAACAAAATTGGAATCTCAGGAGGTCCCGCCTGCCTTGCAAGTAGTACCAGTAAAACCACACGTCAAACTCCTCAAGTCATCATCCCCATCCTCACCCTGCGCCACCCATAACTAGTTCAAGTCAAGGGCAGGAATCAAAACAAAAGAGAAGAACACGACAAACAACAATGAGATCGAGAATACCTCCATCAGTGGGCACCAGCACACATTCACACACCACAAGGCCCACATGACTGGCAATGAAGCTTGCGATCACAAGAAGTAGTTTCGAAGGGGTCACACAGAACAAGAAACCTGTAACCTATCAAAAAAGGGATCCCCAGCATCCCAAACAGATTGGAAACGTCTGTAACAGGGCCCACAGAGCAGCTCAAGTCAGAAACCCCAAATCTCCGAAGCATCAGCCCGAGCTGGGTACGACAGCTGCGTTGAGCAGCGCAGTGTCCTCCAGTGGCAGGGGGCACGGGCCCGCTTGGGGCTTAAGCGTTTAGGGTTTGAGGTGTAAGGTCTAGGTGCAGGGCTTGGAACTGAAATTCAATGGCGGCAGCGTGGTATCGATTTAAGGTGTACAGTTTAGGCTAAGATAGCTAAGACAGAGTCCGAGGCAGTGCTGTGCTCAGGAGTAAAGCACATGAAAAAAGCTCTCTTCAGAAGATGAGCACTTCTCATAGAAAATCAAGAGTTGGAAGAGTGGGGCCCAATATCTAATGCCGAGTTGCCAAGGACACTGGTTTGCGGGTTGTGGTTGCAAGCGGGTTCAGAGTGTAGCGCTCCGAGATAGGGTTGAAACCACAGAAAGCCCAGATGCCTTTTTTCTAAACTGGCCGAGGTACGCGATGTAAAGTGAGACTTGGAGGGTTTATTTGCAGACCAGAGGTACCACAACAGTGTCAGGGCAGCAGTGAACGGGCAGCAGGCTAATCTAATCAGTAATCTTATCACTTGGGTACTGCCCCCACCCTTTAGCTGTCTATACTAGGGGTCATATTAAGACAGAGTGGGGGCAGTACCCAACTTATCAGTAGTTCGACTTCAACCGGCCCTTGAGATTCAGCTAGGAGGAGTATGTACGAAGTCGATGATCCTGCAAGCTTGACACGAGCCATGTTCGGACTTGTTAACGGGGATTGTATAGACAGCAGCTGACTTTATGATTCCTGCTGGTCGGCATGAATGGATGTGCTTGCAAAGTCGGGGCACAAGTATCCCTATTTACATCATTCGATACTACTCAAGTGAAATCAATCCTTGTTCTTCTCTTGGATTTCTTAAGAAAGCGCAGCCAAGAGTAGTATCCACAATTTCTGTATGGGAATTCTACACTTCTTTTAATCCTGAACTGCTTTCAAAAATAAAATTTGGAGAGGAGAGGGGACCGGAAAAGGCAAAGCAGTTTGAACCTCAGGCTCCCAGCTGCTGCTTCGCAGGCTTCTGGGCGTATTTCAACAAAAAAAAAAGGAGGCTAGGGCGCTCCTAGCCCAGGTGAGCCATAGTCTAAACTCCTTGTATCCCCCTTCATAAGCCCTGTAGTAGGAACCTTATATCATCCACCATATGACCCCTGTTAAGGCGTTTAGACTATAGCCCAGGTACCACAGTGGCTTCACCACGGCAGATACGTCTGCCACTGCACTTGAACCGCTTTGTGGGCCCTCCCATCTACAGGAGGCCCTGTTTGCGGTTTTTTGAAACAAGATATTGGGGTGTTCCCAAAATTAGGGGTATCTTTTTGGGTGTACCGATAAAAAGGATTGAATTTCAATACTTTGGGGGGTCTATATTGGAGTCCTCTTTTGGGGAAATTACCATTTGCGCAGTGGCACGACCATCCAGAAGAACTAATCTTGGAGCCCAGGTAAAAAAAGAATAAGCATGAATTACAAGCGGCTAATGCATCCACACGAGATCGGCACCGCGCATTGCCAACGTGCTGCTGGGCTCCACGTGTAGTGAACGACGACTGCTGACTCTCTGTCCTGCTCGCCATACCTCTACCCCAACTGTTGACCAGGTACTGTATGACTGCTGTTGACATCGCCACTGCAACGAGTCGAACTGGGCTTAAGGAATGGATCTGGAGGTGGTGGAGCAGCAGCAACCGCGGTGGAGGAGGAGGAGAAGCAGGAGGAGGAGGAGGAGGAGGAGGAGGGAGGAGCAGACGCACGACTGTAGCAGCAGGAAAGCGGTAATCAATCGCAGCAGCAGCAGCAGCAGCAGCACTGCTTTATAGCAATGATGGGTGCATATTGGAATAGCGCAACAACCTGGAAGGCATGATCCGGCCAAGTGCGTATCCGGTACACTCCACTAGCATTCTGTCCTGCGGTTTAGAGGTCCACGCTTAGAGATTACTACAGAACTTCATCAAGCTGGAGATAAACACTATAATGTTGAGGACTGCTGAGTCAGCCAGGTCGCATGGAAGGCTATCATGAAGCTCGCCGCATGATATACCCCAATAATGGAGAATCAAATGGAAAAGAAAATGGAAAATGAACTTGAAACTGTTATATATATAGGGTTATATAAGGATTATATGGATCGAAATACACCTTTGCACCCTCTTCCGCTCGGGCCTCTAAAATCATAATCACAACAATACAGCCCCAAGCAACAGCGATCAGTGTGAGTAACTCAACCCCGAAAAAATCCCCCTGCATATATTGGTGCTATAATGTGGTGTTTAGTTTTACCAGCAACAGGAAACTACTGTCAAAATGGATAAAAACCCATGTTCCATTTCATGTCCTTTTCCAGTTGGTTCCCTATTATTGGTATCATTGTTAGTATTCATTGAGACCAAAAACAACTTCTAGGCGAGGCCTCAGACTTCCTTCAATATAGCCCGCGCCTGTGCACGAGGCCGGCAAATCCGAAGCGATGGGGGAAGAAGAGTCAAAGACTTGGAGCATCATTCTGGGGTTTTGACACAAGCTAGCTGTATATGCAGGGTAAACGCTATGTGCAAATGACTTGCTTATGACTCTGTTATGACTCATGTAGCTCATGCTTCATGATGGTCAAATGACTGTAGTATGCCGAAAGTCGTTCATCATTCAGAACACCAACACCATCTTCATAATGGCCGTGAATGAACTCGTTGATGCTACTTGGCTTTGTGGCGGTCCAAGTCCAGAACTCTGAAAGAGCTCCCATGGCTACGGCAATGTTCGCCAAAACCAGTTTGGCACAACATCTTCCTTGGAGGGTTAGTGGCCCAAAAGGTGGAAGGCTATTTAAAAACATGAAATCTGATTCTACACCCCCCCTCCCCAACAACACGGAAGCGGAAAAAGTTGCCTATAAAGACTACTGTTCTTTCTGAATGGGCAACTCTCTGGGCCTCATTCCTGGGGGAAATAATAGGTGCCAGGTCCACTGCCCCTCCAAGAACTGGAAGGCAAGGCGTGTTCTCCGTCGGCAAAAAACGACTAAGCTACCTCAGGTATCCACCCCAAGCCTAATCTTGCAGTTGCTTTGCACGTGGTTTCTCATCTTGGCGGTTCCATAGATTGGGAGTCCCAAGGTGGACCCCAATATTTCTACCCAAGTAGCCCGTAAAATGGGGCCCTTAAGGCTGGAAACATCCATATAGGGCTACCCTGACAGATCCCTCAATGAACAGCAGCGTAAGATGCGGGACTGCAAGTGTCCCTCTCAAGGATTTGTTTTGGAATAGTTCTGCACAACTGCCTTGTACTGCCACACGTATCCTTGCACGTTATCCACGTAGGGTGAAGAACCGGGTGCGCTTCGCTTTTCAAATAATTGATCCCCAACCCCCGCCATAGTGCCAATGCCTGATTGCCAAAGATAATGTTGGTCGTAATCAAGGTGCCAAATACTCCTTGCCTTGTCACACGAATCTGGCGCTGCATTTTGCTGGCCAGAACTCTTTTTGACACAGTGAACCCTTGCGAAGCGGCGGCCGATCAGCACCTTCGAAGGAAACAGCATTCACAATTGCCACAAGCTGTGCCCGGACCCCAACAGACAATACGCTATCCCACTTACCGCAGAAAGGGCCCCCATGATGCTATAGATGGCGTGCCACTACCATCGGTGGCGCAACTGTCGCCTGGTGTCACTGCGACACCTGTTGCTGCATCCTACCGTTGCTACAACAGCAATACACTAAACACTGCTAAACCTCCGCTAATCCTATCTTGAATTGGAGCGCGGAATGAGGCGCCCTTGTGGCCGCGACTAACGCTGCAAATTGTTCAGTGAGATCTCTGCATACGGCTCCTTCAAATTCACATGGCGGAAACCGAAGGATTGTAATGGGCGGGGTTGCATTTACAGAGTGGCCGCATCCTTCTAGAAAGCATGCCTACAAAGTAAACGACCCTATCAAAGGCCTGCAGGAAAACTGCGCCCTACCCAGCCCATGACATCCTTGGGCCTGCGCGGCAGCTACTCTATGGGGATCTACACGAAGCCCCCCCCATACAAGGCAAAGCCTCACTGAAGCTACTTCAGAGGATGCCCATTCAATTGGGGGGCAGTGCAGGTCCCTCTGGCTAATGATCGCTACCAGTGACGACGTGATCCGACTCGTGCAAACTTTGCAAACTTTCACCGCGTGCCAGTAGCAAGTCTGCATGAAAAGTCTCGATGAGCTTGTTCATACCATCGAACCTTAGGTGCGTACGTCGCGCTCTGCCCGGCAGTCAGGAGAGGAGCTTTTTTGTGGGAACGGCTTCTGTAGCAATCTATAGGTAAGATTCAGATGCATGGGTCAGCTTCAAGCGGTGCTGCTCCATCCATTGACATAATGTGGCACTTATCTTTAATCCCTGTATCAGGTCAGGGTTTGCACTTGCAGCTACCCCTTGCCATCAGAAGGAACTCGCAACCTGCCTTGCTCACTTTGGTAGGACTGTTGGCCTGTTGAGGTCTCAAAGCCCTTAACATGAACCATGAGCAATTCGGGCAGTGCAATCTCTCTAGCTCCCCCGATCGTCATGGAAGAACCCAAAAAGGGACTCGTCACTGTGATCAGGTTTTAATCCCCCTCCTAGCCTGTGGCATCAACAGCCCCCAAAGGGAATGTCTTGAGATTGAGCCATGGTGCGCTTCGCCAATCTCGTCTTCGAGCTGCTCTAGCGTCTTGATGGTATCATGCTCATCCTAGACAAGGACTGGGTTGCTGTCAAGAAGAAAGAATTAAGTTGCCGCAATGGGTATAGATATCTGTCAAAAGGTTTCCCCAATTTGGTAACTTAATTAGGTTCCTTGACAGCAACCCAGAGGATTGTATGGGGTCGGGGAATTCAGAATGAACTCACGCTGGCATGTTCTCTTCGAGCAGGGAAGAAGTCCTGGGTCCGTCAGGTTATTCAGCTTCATACAAAAACACCTTGTATCTTCTAGTCAGGACCCTAAACCCTAAACCCTACATGCCCCTATATAACCCGAAATGTCCCTGTATGACCCCTATAAACTATAAACCCCTCTAAAGGTACCCCCAATTTGGGGAACCCCCATGACTGAAAGAGAAGGGGCGTGTAATGTGAGTGGGGCATGGATACTTGAAGGTTCATGGGTGTCTATAAGTGGGTTGCATGTCTAAGTTGTACCCGCACCCATGACTTCCCGTGAACCTCGAGGTAGGCTGTTCCCGATGCCATGGAGGGACCGGGAACGGATTGACCGCATTGAGAACATCTTCTTCTCAGGTGAACATAACGGGAGCTGCATGTTGAGAAACACTCTGACTACTATGCTTCGCATCATCCTGCTTCAACCTGATACTCTCCCAAAACCAAACACAAAACCAAACACAGAACCAAAGACACAAATCCCCAAAACCCCAAACCTCTAAATCCTAAACCCATATGTATGAAACCCCACGATCTCAATTTCAAACCCTCTCCCTCAACTAGAATGGAAAATTAAGCCCAAAATTTCAGAAACACACAGCCTTCCAAAGGTCGCACTGGGCAGCAATCACCTGATGGCAATCTTAGGAGTTCTAAGGTGGAGGGTTCACAGTCTGCAAGCAGAAAAAAAGCCCACGGAATGTGTCAAGAATGCAGTAGGGCGCGGAGCAGGATGGAATCTAGCAAAAAGAATGGTAATTTGCTAAATAAGGACACCCCAATATAGACCCCAAACTACTATCATTCTTGTTATAGGGACCCCATAATGGTTCTCCTAATTTGGGAAAAAACCCCAAACACAAATCCCTGAACCCCATATGACCCTATATATCCCTATATATCCCTATATATCCGTAGATATCCCCATATACCCCTATGTAACCCTTGCACACCCTAAATGGTACGCCTAATTTTAGCAAACTCCCTACAGGACAGCACATGAACAACCTCTGCTGCAAGCTAAAACACAAGCCGAGCCCCCTGCTGTTTCCGATCAAAACTTGAGGGTTATATAGGGTTTAGGGCTTAGGGTCTAAAAACCTTAAAGGGGGTCATATAGGGGATTACATGGGGGACTACTCCTCCTAAGGGGGATACTACTAGCAGTATAGACCATAGACCATAGCTCACTTGAAGAAAAGCCACTCTGAAACCCTACACCCTAAACGCACCCTTAACCCTAAACCCTCAACCCTAAACCCAAACCTTGATCCCTTGGCCCTGGGTCCTCAAACCTTGGGTTGGCCACCATCAACACCCCAGCACCTGATGGGAGTGTCCTAAAACCTGTAGCAACTTATATTATTGGGGAACTTGGAACCTTAGTACAAATCACAATTTTTGTAGTTCCTTCAGATTTGAGTGAGGAAATATAGCAATTATTTCCAAGTACCCCTAGGATATATCTATACATAACGGTTATACATGGTTTATACAGGGCTTAAGTAGGGGCATTTAGGGCTAAGGGCTTCCCAAAGTTAAGGATGCCTTCTGGGGTTTCCCCATAACATGTTGGGGTCTATATTAGCGTCCCCTTCTTTTGGGAAACTACCAGATAGCATGCTTTGCACCTGAAGGTCAAACCAAAATTGCAGAGGTTTATTGGGTACCAAGGGTTTGTGTCCCCAAAATCAATACTACCCAAGTCAGACAAAAAAAAGGCCTCGCGGCTTCTCGCCTCGCCCCGCGCCAGCATGATGCCCTGCTAGGTCAAGAGGTCGGGAGTTTTAGGCTCTCGGGACTTGGGCCTGGGGTTTAGGGTTTACGAATTTGGGGTTTCAGGATTTGGGGTCGGTCCAAGGTTCAGGGTTTAGGGTTTCAGGGTTTGGAGCTTGGGCCCGTTTGGCATTACGCAGTCCTGACAATGCCAAATGTACTTGCAATGAAGGTTGGGTGTGGTAGAGTTTAGGTTTCGGGGTTTAGGGGTTATTCCCAGTTGATTGAGACCAAAGATGTGGGATGGGGTCTAGCGCACAGCCGCTTCTGGATTCTGGGGCCAGGCAAAGTCTTGAAGTGGATGTGTAAAGGAAACCCTAAACCCTAAACAGTAGTTCCCATTTCTATTCTCCATTATCCCAATACCACCCCACTGTAACTCTAATATTACCCCCATGGGGAGCCCTAGGCCCCAGGCAATGAGCTGCTGGCAGCACTGGGCAGGTTTCAGGAATAGGTCTTGCAAGGCTGCTACCACCACTACTAAGGATACGACTACGACAGCTGCTACAGATGCTGCTTCCCCTCCTCCTCCTCCTCCTCCTCTTTTTCTTCTTCTTCTTCTTTCTTGTGTTTCTTCTTCTTCTGGTTCTTTGCAGCTGTAGTGGATTTGCTACTGTTTGTTTTTGCGAATTGGGGCCAGAACAGCCCTGGTTCCTTGTTCATGCGTTTTGTAACATCCTTGCGGGTGGGCACCTGAGGAAGTCCAGCCCAACATTTACAGGAGCCCTGAAGAAGTGGGAAGAGTTGATAGACGGGTCCTGAGCGAGTCAGCGGGAAAATGCTGGTTTGGGAACCATTTCCTCTGCTCTTCGTTCTCTCTGCCAGTTCGTCCTGCAAAAGCCCCTGCCTCCACAAACTCCTCCGAGTCCAGGGTGCCTGAGCTGTTGTAGTCCAGCACGTCAAACAAGGTCTCCACCTGTCGCACGTCGATTTGCACCTGTGCCAGGCACAGGGTCGCTTGCAGAGTCCTCAGACTGGTGTAGTTGAACGGTGATCCCCCTGACTACAAGATATTAAAATATATTACAATATACTATACGAGATTATAACATATTCTACTGTATATATATATGTACTAATATGGTAAGCAAACCAGGGCCTCGTGCATCAACTGCATGACAGAAGGAATTTCCATGGCTTCCAGGAACTCCTGTAAAGCGAGGGTGATGAGTTGAAGGCCCCAAACATTTCCAGATAGATATTATATGAGCTATAGTCTAAACTCCTAGTTACCCCCCTTAATAACCCCTATAGTAGTCCCCTATATAATCCCCCATATAACCCCCTTTAAGGAGTTTAGGCTATAGTTCATATTAGGAAATTACCAAACTTGGCATCCCAAATCATCCTTAAACCGCAAGTTGTCAAGGAAGGATGAGAGCTACCCGCCTTCACTGCAGCTACACAATCACTCCTCAAGGCCTGACTCAGTAAACCAAGGGTCAGATGCTCCATGCAAGAGGGGTTGCAAAGCACTGCGTATCTGCCGTCGGTAGGTTCAGTCCTTCTTTGTGATCTGGCCAGTGTTCTGCCTGTCCGCAGTCCTTGGCATGGCACAGAGGTCTTGGGGGCAAACGGTGATGGAATCGAAGTACAGAGGCCAAGGAGCAGCAGAGAAAGGTAAATTAAAACACGAACCAGCCAAGTGACAGGTAGAGAGATTGAGAGAGAATAGGGCGGAAGCACGAGGAAAGCCAAGACGGGTATGTATATATATATATATACAAACAGCATACTGAGGAGAATCACGGAGTTCAGGTGGAGATGTCTACGAAACCCTTTGCTTCACTACAAAACCGCAACAAAGCAGGAAAACGAACACATGCTCGGTAGCAAATCCCTACGCATGAAAAAAAAAACAAGAAGGCAAAGCCCTTGCCCCATCCATTACAAGGAGGGCCCCCTAGTTACATACCTATACTTATTGGGCCGGGTGGCTGGAAGACCTCGAGAATCTTGAGCATGGCGCTGGCATCCTTCTTTTCCTGGCAAGCTCAGGATCATGTGCTGGTTTAGGGGTTTAGGGTTTAAGCTTGGAGTTTAAGTGTTAAGGTTTAGTATTTAGGGCTTAATTTGCTTTTGGTTTTTTTTTGGATTGTGTCAGGGGCTCTCAGAGCATGTCAGGGCTGAACGCGGCTAGGGTCGTGGCAAACTGACAAGCATGTGCCCGCACAAGCGAGAGGCTAGGACCAGCCAACATCCACAGGGCAACCCAGGCACCCCTAACCTTCCAAACAAAAAAGAATTTGGGGGGGAGGGAGTCCACATGTAGGAGGCCCCAATGCAGACCCCAATGAACTATCATTACAAGGACTCCCGAAAAAGGAGATTTAAACTTTGGAAAGCCCCATGTCTCTTGGTACCATTACTGTCGTCACCCCTCACGGTCTGCAAGGGTGGAGTTGGTATACTTCACCCTGCAAAGCCTGTGGTCCCAGACAATGTTCAAGAAGCATGCAAACCGTCCTGAACTGACCGCATATCCTCCTGCCGCTCTTTTGCGTGGACACCTTGGAGAGCCAGAAGTGTGCTGAAAGTGCGGGCTTAGGATGCACGGCATGGTGCGACTGAGGCTGAGGGCTGAAGGGATAAGGGTTACGGCTATCCAAGGGTAGGTTTGAACCTAATTTGTAATTTGTATTACCCTGAATCACTCTTTGACCCCTACAAAGCCATAAACTGATCTTTATAGGGCCCCCAAACCTACTCTAGTATTGTCCAAGAATTACAGCATATAGTGTATTCTCAAAATTCCCTACTATAACCCCAATACATACCCTAGTATACTATAGTAGCTTCCGTTTTCTTTTCCCTTCTTCCCTACTCAATACTACAGAATCAAACATGGTTGCCAGCAGGGTTGAGGGTTCAGGATCAGAGCGCGTGGGCTCCAAGGCGTTGAGCACTGTTTTTTCAAGTTCATGACAATTACTGGGGATATAGGGGGTTATATATAAGGTTATTAGAGAATATAGAGTAAAATGTAGGGGTTATATACTAGTATACTTGCTTTCGGTACTTTGCTTTATTCTCGCCAATTCTAGGCGCACTGCCCAACTTACGGCATAGGCCGCTACATTTTGGTGTGACAGCCAAAAAGAAGATTGAATTGGAACTGGCATTGGAAAGATCAGCATATCTAGTTACTTGCAAGCAGCCACAGAAATCAGCACATTGTGCCCAGGCGCAGGTGTTCTGTACAATCACCGCAACCACAACATTCCTGAGGTCAGGCGCTGGAAATTCAGCTTTGGGTGCCTATAGCATGTGGGAATGCATCCATGATCATTGGAACACCTATGCTCTGGTTAGACGGTTAGAGGCCTCGAGTCATGGGGTTTGAATGTGCCTACCCCTATAGAAGCCCTTGTGTTCCAAAAAATCTTAGCGCAACCCATTGACAGCCTGCACAACAAGCCGTTCGCCTTTCAACACCTGCAACTACTCTCTGGGCATGGGAGAAGTCGCTACCCTTGCGAACTCCCGTCTTCGAACCCAGAAGCGAATCTGGCGATCTTGTTTTCGATCAACAGCTTGAGCATTTGTTTGCTCACCGTGGTAGCCACTGCGCGTCTATGGCAGAAAACTTGTGTTTGGTGTTTTTGGGAAACAAGGGTCAGCTTAGTGACACCGATCCCAGCTAGAAGGACGCAAGAGGTTAGTTTGGACTCAGCTACAAGCCATGTATGATCCATCCCCGTATCATCCCTTGGATACCAAAAAGCCTGGGTCTCAGCTGCTGCCAAGGAACATGACGGCAAGACCTTAGCCAAAGAGCTCTTGATCCATCAAACCTCTAAGCAATAGCCAAAAGCTAGGTATTACGTTACGTACTGGGGACAGATATGTGCTAAAATAGGATTAGTTGGATCCCTAATATTCGATCTTCCAAGCATCTCTCTCGCCTCCACTTCAAACGCTACGTGCCTAGCCCTAAGCCTACCGATGACCATGGCACTCATGTTGAATTCTTACGTAAAGGCTCCAAACTGGATAGCCTCAAATGTTTCATAGTGCTGGCAGGGTCGTATCTGCGCCTTCGTATGCTGATCCACTGCACAAGCGCTAGTTCTGGCTAGAAACAAAAGGCCAAAATCTCCACACCCTGTTTGCTCTCGTTGTGGCTCTACGTTTTTCAACAAGACATTTCGCAGTCTTCCAGGTCAAAAACACTGCAGCTTCAAATCCTTAACCCTCACCGGGACACTAGTGCAGAAGATGTAGAGCACAAAGAAGATCTCAGCACCCGGATATCGGGATGCTGTATGCCGGGCGATTGTAGCCCACGTCTCCATTGTCATAACCTTGAAGAGCGTGTACATGCTCTGCCTCAGCATCTGCCAACTGCATGGATATTGCACGGAGCTTAAGCCGCATGAGTCTTTCTGCCAACGTCACCGCCACCCCCGCCGCCACCGGCCCACAAACACAACCACAACCACCACCA